TTGGCGCAGGATAGAGCAGGGTTTAGGGCTGTTGTGCATAGGGTCGCTATGAGTCGCAAGCCACTCGATGGCACATAACAACAACAACAACATATATCTTTGCAGAGCTAATAAAACACACGAAAACATTTTTATAGCATTCTCTGTGCACAGAGACTACATAGTATTTAACCAAATTCAAATTCACTGCTTAAATGAGTTGATTCCAAATCTTGGCAACCCTCCATTGGATTTCTCACTCTGTAAATCTTAATGAAAGCAAACTACCTCATCTTTCTTCCAATGAGTGGCAGGTAAATTTTAATTGCAAAACTCCTCACTACTGGACTGATAGGCAGCATCATGATAGACAGAGAGAAGAGTGAAATTGTCATCAATTTCATTTTACTTGGATCCACAATCAACACTCTTGTACCTGCAGTCAGGAGACCAGGGGACACATTGCATTGAGTCAGTCTGCTGTCTGGGATCTCTCCAAATTACTGAGGAGGAATGATGTCAGTTTGAAGAATAACATGCACCTGATTCAGGTCAATGAATAAGGATTACAGAAGAATCAATGTCCTTAAGTTGTGACGTTGGTGAAGAACATCAAATATCCCATGGACTGCAAAAATTAAAAAACAAAAACCAAACACCCCCAAATTACAGCAGCCCACAACAAAACAAACAGATATGTCTATGTCCATACCATCCTGAATGTGCCCGATTTGATCTCAGAAGCTAAGTAGGGTTGAGCCTATTTAGTATTTGGATGGGAAACTGCCTGGGAGTATGTGCTGTAGGCTTTAAAGGAAAAAAAAGGAGGGGGGGGGGAGAGAAAACCTCCAAAATAAAATGGGTGTATCTTGGGAAAAGTGCAGCAATGAAGGCAAGAATGGAAAAACTTCATCTCGCATATTTAAGGCATGTTGCTAGGAAAGGCTATCCTTGGAAAGAGATAACGTGCTTGGAAAGGTAGAGGGTCAATGAAATGGATTGACACACTGCCTGCAGCAAAGGGCTTCAGCATGTTGGTGACAATGAGAATGTCACAGGATAGGACAGTCTGATTTGTTGTTGATGGGGTTGCTATGAGTCATACTCAACCAGGTGGCACTTAAGAACAGCAACATTTTGGGTGGCCTAGTGGGTAAAGAGGAACACTTCCAAACCAAAGGCAGGTGGTTTGAATCCATCAGATGGGCATTCTCAGACTTGACAGCAATGAGAGAACTTTCTGTTAGTAGCCCAATGTGTAATGCATTAAACCACCAGGTCCTCACATTAAAAAAAAAAAAAAAGCAAAAGAAAAAACCATTGTCTTTGAGGGCATTGTGGCTCTTATCAACCCTTTAGGTCAGAGAAGAACTGCCCCACTTGCATTCCTAGACTAAAAATTTTTAAGGATGCAGCCTGCTACAGGCTTTCTTCCCAAAGCTACTGATTAATCTCAATTACTGACCTTTCGTTTAGCAGCCCAAAACTTAATACACCGTACCATCAAGGATCCTTAGCACACCACTGCCAATAAATGGATTGCAACTCATGGCAAGTCTGATTGGGCTTCCACGGCTGTGAATCTTAAGAGGAGGAAACTGCCCATTTTTCTTCTATGGAGAGGCTGGTGGATTGGACTCACCCACTTTTTGCCTAACAGAGCAACATTTAACCTACTAAGACACCAGCATTCCTAGTCCTTCGATCACTGCTGCTGTTAGGTGCTCTTGAGTCAGAACTAACTCATGGCTGACCCTCCAGCAGGTTTGCAGAAGCTAGAAACTGCATGGGAGGAGATGGCTCATCTTTCTGCAGAGGAGCAGCTGGGAGATGCAAACTACGGCCTTTCGTGTCAGCAGCACAACTCCTGACCAGAGCACCAGATCACTAGGACACCAGATCACTGTATTCCATAATTGTTACGTGCTGTTGATTGACTGACTCACAGACCAATGCACACAGTGGCTCTGAACCCTGCCCTATTCTGAGCCAACCTCACCATATCTGACACATCTGACCCCATGGCCACAGTCACTGTCTCAATCCATCTCATCCAGGTTCTTCCTCTACTGCGCTGACCCTCTATCCTTCCAAGCATGATATCCTTCTCCAAGTACTGGTCCCTCTCTTGGAAACATGCCCAAATTACTTGAGATGCTGTAGTTACTTAAAAATACTTGTTGAATGAAAGTAGAAAGAGCATTGTCTTTTTTTGCTTGAGAATGCTGCCAAATGCAGCCAGACCAGCAGCTGTGACTCGCAGTCACTTGCAAATTGGAATTATCTGAGGATTTTTAAGAATTGCTGATGCCTCCAGACATTCTGATTTAATTGGTGTAGGCTATAACTCAGACATCAGATTTTTTAAAAAGTGTTGTCCTGGTGATTGTAATGTGCTGCAACGTTCGAGAACCACCCTTGAGGGGAACCCAGGATACAAGCACAGGAGGCCAGGGCAGTGGCTCCACTGAGCCCTCAGGACCTGGTGTAGATAGTAACCCAGACAAAGTCTCCTCTGCTCCTGGACCGACCAGATTTCTCAGTTTTAGCCATAAAGTAACACATTTAGCCCCATTAGGCTTCAGAAAACTGCCACCTGATTGTGTAAGAGGAGAGAAGCAGAACTTAGAGAAAACCAAAAACTGAACCAGTGTTTCTGGAAACATGGTGTTCGAGAATGTCCATCCTGAGAGAGAAGGAGATAGTATCTTAGGAGAACATAGTATTTCTCTCAAGATAACATGGTATTTCTCACCCTATTCATTTACCAGAACAGACTCAGATGGCAGGCTGACTGGGCCTCCCACCAGAAATCTTGGGCTCTGAGGAAGAAGGGATCTTCACAGGTAGAGGAGAGCAGTTTTTAGGAGGCCCCAAAATCCACTTGTAGCAAAGGGTGGCTTGGAAGTCACACATTCATTTTTGGTCTTGAAGCCAAGGTCCCTGGGGTTCACAAAATGTGGTGATAACTTGACCCAAGATGACACAGCAAACCACTAAGAGTCCGGTTAGAATCCGCGCTCCCCTTTCCCATCATGATGAGTCTGGAAATGTCCCACAATTCAGCAAGGGGCAAAAATGGGCCATTTTTCCCCCCCAGTGGGAGGAGTTAGGCAAGAGAATGAGCAAATTAGGTTACAGTTAAAGGAAGGCTGGAGGAAATGCTGAAGGTCAGCAATCCTTACAGGGCCATGTGAACACAGAAGGAGCTGGCGCTTGCCTCCTTTGTTGAGAAGCAGAAATGAAAAGACCACCCAGGCCTCCCGCCAGCGCCTCCCACCCACAACACTGCAAACTGAAAATTGTCACTTCCCAGCAGTGCTTGAACGAGGACTCCAGACCACTCGAGTGAGTCCAGCGTGAGTCTGCTGGCCCTGGGCACAGAGAACACATGAGCTCTGTCCTTCCTCTGATTTATGGGGCTGCTGGCTGCAGTCCAGCCGGCTACTTAAGAGAGCAACATCTTCTCTCAGATGCCCTCCTGCAGCCCTCCCTGAGGCTTGGAATGGCTGAGCCTGTGTCCTAGAGAAAGAAACAAGCCCCATGAAAACCTTGTCGATCTGGAGCCTTCCCTCTGTCATTCCAAACAGAAACCCCCGGCTTACCGTTCGTGCGCCTGTAAGCTGCTGCAGATAATCTTGAATGGCACTGGTGTCTGGGGTGGCTGTGATATCCACAAATTCCAGGAGCCCTGGTTTGAAAGGCAAATGGTTGAGGATGTTTTGAGTCTTCTTGCAGTAGGGGCAGGTGGGCTTGATGAACACAACTACCTTCCCTGGATGGATTTTGCTGTTCACAAACTCTTGAGCCATGCTGACAAGCTGTGGTCTCCCCTTGGAGGACGTCTCAGTGGCAGGTAGAGCAGGCGTGTGAAGCTGCAGCCAAGCCAGCTTGCTCCCTTTAAAGGAACCTCCCGAAGGAGGAGGAGTTTTCTTGATAGCATTCTCAGTTTTAAAGGGACAGCCCCGAAGTCATTTCAGCAAGCTGTGAGTCACCACGAGGACAAGGCTGAGAAGGCACGCTTGCTGTTTAATCACCAAGACAGCTCTGTCTAGAGTCTATGTGCTGTTATCAGACCTGCCCTTTGGCACAGATTGGGGTTAAATCACTGTTTGGAGAAGCCTAACATGCGTAGAGACAGTAAGCTTTGAAAAGAAATGCTTTTTCCCTCCTTTGAGAGACAGTTTTGAACTCACACACCTGGAAAGAATTACCAGAATGCTTGGATCTCTCACTGACTCACTCATTGCATTTGATACAGAACAGACTATCCAGTGGGTTTTCAGGAGGAGATTGTTCATTTTTCTCCCAAAGAGTCTTGAGTGGGTCCAAACCACCAGAGAGGGATGGCTTTTGGGCTAGCAGTGCAACTCCCTACAGAATATACCTTCAGAACTCCCTTGTTAATTTAGTTATTGTTCTGTGCCATGGGTCAGAACAAACTGACCCTCTAGTGATTTTCAGAGACCGGAAATTGCTAGGACTGCCGTGAAAACAAATTGGTCTGTCTTGGAGAGCATGAAACCAAGTTTCTCCTTGGAGGTTGGGATGTTGAGGCTCCATCTCACATACTTTGAGCACGTGGCCAGGAGGGATCAATTCTTGGATAAAGGCATCATCCTTGGAAGGGTGGAGGGACAGCACAGGAGAGGAAGACCCCAGAGGAGATGTACTGATACAGTAACTGGGGCAATGGGAATAGGTGTGTCAGAGTCCATGAGACTGGCTCAGGACAGGGAAGGCTTCAGAGTTGTTGTATATAGGGTCACTAAGACTCTCCGGTGACTCAAGGGTACATCACAACAACAACCACAACAACAAAATCTCCATGGAGGAGATTGTCTTTCTACTTCAGAGCAGCTGATGGATCCCAACAGTGTGCCTTTGGGGAGTTTGACCACAACATTTAAAAAAACCAAAGATTACTTCCAGGACTCTGGACTTGTCTCTTGTATAAAAAGATGTATCTGATGAGAATCATGGGTGAGTCTCCACAGTATGATCTATATCATTGTGTCACTGAATTGTCCTTATGAAAAATATTGAATTGGCAAATATTGTTATATATATTTTACAACAATAAAGAAAATATATATTTTACAACAATAAAGAAAAATTAACACTGAAAATCCAGATCTCTGGATGGACAGCTCAAATTCTTTTTTGGTCATCCTTGGAGCTGAGTGATAATTTCTTTTGGAAAGGGCAACCAGCAGACTCTAGTTTGTTGTGGACCCCACCACCATGGCTGGTATCTGGTTTTGAGACTGAGTTTCAAACCTGTTCATTTTATTTGATTCTTTGCTGAGTGTTTGTATTTGTACCTCAGATATACGGAAAGCAGGCATCATGCCTAAAAGGGAGAAGGGCCAGTGCAGAAGAGGAAGACTCTGAATGAGATGGACTGACACAGTGACTGTGGCAGTGGGGGCAGGCTAGTCAGAGACAGTGAGATTGGCTCAAGATAGGGCAGAGTTCAGAGAAATTGTTCATAGGGTCTCTGTTAGCCACACTCCACTCCATGGCACATAAGAATCTTTTATGTCACATGCACGTAATTGGTGGGAAATGGCTAGGCTGGAGGTTTAAGCTGTATTTAGAAGTTGTGCAAGGAGGGATGTTATTGCTCATGATTGATATCTGCCTAAAAGCAGAGACTACTAGAAAAATGTAATGTTGGGGGGAGGTCAGAGGACCAAAACCCGTCACTACTTTCAAGCTCGTTCTAACTAATAATGGTTTCTGAAGTTATAAATGTTTACTAGGGAATATTGCACACCTCTTTCCAATGAAGTGACTGAGAGCAATGAACTTCCAATCTTTTTATTGTTATTATTGTGTATGGGAGAGGCAGAGATGACCCATAGTTGACCCTCCAGTGCGTTTTCAGAGGCAATTAATTGAATGGGAGGAGATTGTTCATCCTTCTCCCTCATATTTGCTTGTGTTTTATTGACTATACAAAGGCATTGAATTGTATGGATCATAATAAATTATGGATAGTGGCTTAGTGGCAATAAGCTGCAGTTCAAGGCCATTAGCTCTTTCACCAGAGATGGAAGTTATTAAAAAAGAATAAGGTAAGGGGGAGGGGTGGGCAAGAAGAAAAGTACAACAACAAATAAATGGAAATCAAAAGTTTCTGTAAATTTTCATTAAAATGAACAATAATACAAAAAAATTTTAAAAAGAATAAGATAAAACAACTATATCATCTCACCCCAGTAAGAATAGCAAAATTTAACAGAATAGCAAACATCAAATGCTGGTGAGGATGTGGAGAAAATGGAACCCGTATTCACTGTTGGTGGGAATGTAAAATGGTGCAACCACTGTGGAAGGCTGTATGGCACTTTCTCAAAAAGTTGCAAATAGAAATACCATTTGACCCAGCAATTCCACTACTGGAAATATACCCTAAAGAAATCATAACTGCCACCTAAGTAGATATAC